ACTGCAAGTGCTTCTTGTTATTTAGTTATTGTATCTTTGGTCTTGTAAAGAACTCTGGTGGTAAAATCTTCTCTGCATCATCAAGTTCCACTGACATTTGAGAATTCAATTAAAACAGCAGACATTGTGCTTAGATGTTTATAGGGCCAATTTTATCCATGGCCCTCCTTCAATGGTTCGTACAGCTTCAGTTCAATTATAACACCCAACACCCACCCATGGAAAAAAAAATATATCAAACTTTTGCTGGTTTACTTCAGTTTGAGAACATAAGAGAAGCCCTGCTGGATCAGACCAATGGTCCATCTAGTCCAGCATCCTGTCTCACACAGTGGACAACCAGTTCCAGGGCACACGTTGTCTCCTGGCTCTGAGAAAATACCATTTTAATGCTGTTTATTCCTGTGGCCATTACTACATCCTCTGGCAGCAAATTCCACATTTTAATCACTCTCTGTATAAAGGAGTATTTCCTTCTGTCCAGCCTGAACCTCCTGCCCATCAGCTTCATTGGATGCCTTTGAGTTCTAGTACTTTGGGAGAGGGAGAAAAATTTCTCCTTGTTAACTCTACCCCATGCCTAATTTCATAAACCTCTATCATGTCCTCCCTTAGTCATCTCTCTTCTAAACTGAAAAGCCCCCCCTAATCCTGAGGTGTCGAACTCATTTGTCATGAGGGCCAGATCTGACATAAATGTCACTTTGTCGGGCTGGGTCATGTATGCCATAAAACGTGATTCCAGGTACTGGAGAGATAAACTGTATAAAGGATAGCAGCTGGTAAGCTCTAAGTTGGTGTATCCTCGCTTCAGGACCTCATGGGCTGGGAGGGGGTGCAAAGGAAAACCCATATGGGCAGACTGGAGAGCCAGCAGTGTAGCACTGGGCAAACACTCCCACACCGTTTGACTGTTGCAGACGAGGTTGTTCCGCCATGCTGAAGCCACAGTTGGAGTGGCTCCCCCTCCCCCCTCCAGCACTGTCCTTTTCCCTCTCTTGCACTAGTTGCTCATAGGCCACATAAAAGCCCTTGGGTAGGCCAGTTCCAGCCCCCGGGGCCTTATGTTTGACACCCCTGCCCTAATCATCTTGGTTGCCCTCCTTTACTTTTTCCAGCTCTGCAACATCCTTTTGGAGATATGGTGACCAAAACTGGACAGTTTTCTTCATGTTACATTGTCATGAGCAATACTTGATTTTATATGGATTCTGGAACAAATCTGTTTTAAAGACCACAGAGGTACAATTGATATGTGTGTGGTAAACAGTAGCAGGATTCCTGCATACTTTCATTCACAGAAGAATGAAGAGGTACAATTGATATGTGTGTGGTAAACCATTCATACTCTGATCTACAGGCTGTAATAATAAACAGTAGCAGGATTCCTGCATGCTTTCATTCACAGAAGAATGCCAATTATTTCTAAGTTTTGCTTCATGTATGTTGGCAGTCAGTTAAGGGCTTTTGATGACTGACTGATTTGCCGCACATGCAGCTGTAAATAACCTAGCCCCGCTCCCTCAGCGCCATTCTCCCAGATTGCTGGATGTTTCTGAACTCCATTGTTTTCTTTGCTCAACAAACGCTATTTAGAATTATATAAGCTCTCTACCTCTTGCATAGTGTGAGGCACACAAGGTTGGAAAGTACTGTAAGGTCTATTATTTTAATGCAGGTAGTTTTTAAAAATATGCATCTTATGGAATTAGGCTAAGATAATGCTTGATTTTTTTAAAAGAATGTAATCCATAGGTTTGTGAGAAAAGGTGCATCAAACTGGCACCCAAGCTTCTCATTGAACTGGGGCATTTTTGTTTTGTTATGGAGAAGATCTTAAAGCGTAGGCTGGAAAAACCTTGTTAGTGTTTAAGGTGCTACTGTTTACCTTTGGGCTAAGAGGGGTGCCTTAGTTTTTTGTTTTCACAAAAGGTGACCAGGAAGAAGGAAGACCTTGGGGCAATAGTATAGGCAATTTATTTCTCTCCTTTCCGGAGCTGAGAATCATCTGATAACAGTGATTAGGAATAGGTTCAGCACACAAACTGTAATGTATAGAATTCATTACCAGCAGGATCACATTCACACTAAGTGGGGAAATGCGATTGGTGTATAATACACTTTGGTAAAAGTGTTTGTGATTATTTGGTCAGTAGCTGACAGGTGAATAATTTAGCTCGCTTATTTGGACAAGGAGCCCTTAGAGGTTATACACAAACCGAATAGAAGAAGATGAGAGGAGATTGGATTCATTCCATGCCTTTCACTACCCAAAGGAGTCTCAGAGTGGTTTATAATCCCTTTCCCTCCCCCTCCCCACAACAGACACCCTGTGAGGTCAGTGGAGCTGAGAGAGCTCTCTCGAGAAGTGCCCTTGAGAGAACAGCTCTGAAAGAACTTATGACTGACCCAAGGTCACACCAGCAGCTGCATGTGGAGAAGTGGGAATCAAACCCAGTTTCCCCAGATTAGCGTCTGCGCTCCTAACCGCTACACCAAACTGGCTCTCAGAATCTCTCAGGCTTAGTCATAGGAGGTGTCCCCACCTAGCTGCCACAGTTTTGTTGTCTCAGTTTCAGTAAGATGTTTCAAACTGTTATCTCGTAATGATCTGAGACACCCTAATTGAACCCAAGACAACAATATTGGTGCAGGCAGGCAGAATGGGAAAGGGGGAGAATTGGACATGTGCTTTGTGGGTCCTGAAGGGAGAGACAGAGAGAGCTTCTGGGGCAAGAAAGATAGATTTGTTCTGTTTCCCAATAAAATTATTCAGTCCAGGCAAATAATACTTATGTCATTTGTGCTGATATACTGGGTGGGGGGCAGCAACCATGGAGGAGCTTGCAAATGAATATGGAACAAGGATTCAGTACTAAGTATACAAAGCATTTCAGGTTATACTCCTTCTGTGCCTGAACTGCTTCAGAATGCTAGTAGGGGATTATTATTATTTGAAGAAATAAACATGTGACTTCCCGCACAAGATTTGTCTGATTGTGTTGATCTGCCTTCAGAATCCACATATAAACACAAGAAACGGTATTTCTAGCAATACCATTTAAGTATATTTGGCAGGGAAAATCCCCATTGTACTCTGTGGGAATTGAATAAACGTGTTTAGGTACTGGTTTGTGAATTTCTCAAATGTCTTATATCAGAAACTGAACTAGCCAAAATTTACAGCCAAACTAAACAGCAGGCTTAATCCCCCCATATATTCAAGATAGAAAACTTCTATAAAGAGGCTTGTTCAATAGTTGCTGGCATATCTAACACCTGTTTTATAAAGGATAATTCCCAACACTTCTTGTCCCACTGTGTCTGGGAGAAATTTCATGCTTGAGCATAATTATATATTCAAGATAGAAAACTTCTATAAAGAGGCTTGTTCAATAGTTGCTGGCATATCTAACACCTGTTTTATAAAGGATAATTCCCAACACTTCTTGTCCCACTGTGTCTGGGACAAATTTCATGCTTGAGCATCATTATCTTCTTGTAACTGAGGAGGAAAAAAGTTTGAGAGCTTGCTTAGTTGTAAAGGGCATGAAGTGTTTTTTTAAAAAGCTTATCTTGTTGAAGTTCTTTCCATTAGCAGCCTCTGTGCCTGGCTTGGCTTTACTGACCACAACAGCGTGTCTGGGTTTGGATCAAGAGTTGATCCAAGACTTTTAAGAGAAGGCATACAAAAGAAAAATTAGTTTTGACGCTTTTGTCAGTGTCCTCAAATGTCCTTTTCCAATTGAGACACTGTACATCTGTTCCTATAGGCTTGCTTTAAGAAACTGAATCCCATGTAGGATCATTTTCATAGGCTCCATATTAGAGGTGAAAATATTGCCGGCATCTTGTATCCTTGATACCAGCATTGGTGGTTACTGTAGGGTGTAGAGGAAGATAAAGCTTTTTATTTTTCTCTGTGCATAAGAGAAATTGCAAAATATGAAGGCAGGGAAGCAGCTGGTTACCGAGTGGGACATGTGCAAGAAATAATGTAACTGCGTTACTAGAGCAATAGTGAAGACGCGTGTAGGAAAGTCCGCCTGGATTCTGGGGTCTTCTCTACGCGCACGGAGACAGCCGCTTTTCCTGTGTCCCTAACCGCAGGGATGCCTGTCTTCGTGACTGTGTAGTAGTGTCCAGCAGCTGTACAAAAGGGAGATGTGGGTGTGGGGAGGGGCATTTCCGTTGGCCAAACAGCTCTCTTCCCCCCCCCCACCCTTATCTTTTGCCTTGTAATCTATCACCATCCCTAATCTGGTGGATTTGGCTCCTTCACACCAAAGCAGAGCCCGCTGGTGATCCGCCCTGCACGGTCGCCTCTACGTGGTCCGCAAGGAGACCCCCAACCTGCCACTCACCTTGCCTGGCACTCCGCGATGGTCCGTGCTGCCTTGCCAGAACCTTCTGCTGTAGCCGGTGATGTACCCGACCATCTTGTCCTCGTAAGGGAAATCCACCTTCCAGATGAGGGAGCCGTAGCCAAACACCCACATGTTCTTCGCCCCGCCGCTCTCTGCGGCGCTCTCCCGGGAGTGGGGAGCCTGGGGGCGGCCCCGGGGGCTGCTGTTGCTCTGCATACTCCCGGGCTCGGCTCAGCAAGGCACGCTGGGGCTTGTAGTGCGTGACCTGCCCAAGGCAGTCTCGCCTCGGCCCGGTCTCCTGCTCGCACGTGGACGCTGCTCGGTGGATGGAGGTGACTCACAGGTCAGAGGGTACACCGGGTTTCCACCTCATAGTCGCGCTCAACTACAACTCTCAGCGTCCCTTTCGGTACCAGGAAGTGGGGCGGGGCTTCTGGCCCTGCGTAGGGCAGCCGCGAGATGCCGGTTGAAGATTCTGCGGAAGTTGTTGATGTAAACCCGCTCGTAGGGTTGCTGCAGCTCCGCCGTGATGAGCGGCTGAGAAGGCAGCGAGGGAAGCGCGTTCATTTTCTTCTTTTTCGTTGCAGGAGTTGTGATGCAGATGAGAGACCGTGTCCGCAGCAAGCAGCAGGAGTAGAAATGTGTACGAATGGGCGTTGAAGAGAATTTTCCTTGACGCGCTCGACAGTGATATACACGAATAAGTGAGTACAGCGTCAGGAACAATTCTTGTCTTGTAGTCCGAAAGAAATTATGTTTAAAAGATGGGCATCGCATCGGAAAGCTTATAGTATAGTGTAATAGATTTTCCCTACGGTTTTGTAAAAGTTGATTTTTAAGGGAAATATGTGTGTGTTGTGGTAATAGCTACACTATGATTTTTTAAAAAAATAAAATAAAATATGAGTTTGCATATCTCTTGGTTTCCTGAACTATAAAATATTCAGGATCTCAATTGTTGCAGTTTCTGCCTGAGTTCCAATTTTTAAAAATATTTAAATTATTATTTTGGTAAGTTGTGGGGGAGAAAGGACTGTTCTGAGGCCATCAGGTTTTTTCCTTGTTATGTGATGTGAATATTCTGGTAGGGGCAATTGTGAGTGCAGAAACTGTGCCTCTGACGGCTAGGTTTGGCTGTGGATTTCCTCTTGAAGTGTGTGCTGTTATGGGAAATTAGAATTTGTTGCTGGGTAACAGGCTATGCAGAGGCAAGCAATGGCCAACCACCTTACCTCAAAAACTCTATGGGGTTGGCTGTGTCTTGACTGCACTTTACACATAAGGATAAAAGGCTGTCAGTTCCCAGGTCTGAATGTACAAGAGTTCTACTGTTGTGAAACCTTAAAACATCTTTCTACACTGGAGTTGCTTTTCAACCCTTAGTACCTCCAGCGCATTATTTGCTGACCTAAAGCAGATGCTTGAATTTTGTACCCTTGATCAGTGCTCAGATTTGCTCTGGTCTCCTATTTATCAGGTGTTCCTCAGCCTCTCAAAACATTTAGGCTCAATTCTGCTCTTGAGTATCCTACATAAAGTTGCCAGTGTGCAAAACAAAGGTTTTGTAACTCAAGACAGGCACACATCCTTTTTCCTCAGTGTGGACCCAAGTCAGCTCCTCACCATTTTATCCTCTCAACAACAACTCTGTGAGGTAGGTTAGGCTGAGAGTGTTACACTAGCTGAAGGTCACCCAGCAAGAGAAAATCTGGGCCAGGATGCTCCCATTCCCTTAATGTTTTGGCACTGCAGCTCCCATCGTCATCTTTAGGCTGGTGGCCAAAAAATAAATCTAGCTTTATTTCGTAATGATTTTTTTTTCATGGGTGGACATGATCCCACTTTTCTCCACTCTGTGTGGACTCAACGTGGCATATGGTATGAGAGAAATCACAACAATCCATTAACTAGAACATCTACAGGGGAGGGGATGAACAGGCATAAAAGTTCATCCTTTATTGGAAAAGGTCCCTCCCTCCCCAAGCGCTTCCAGGAGGCGGCTTCCTAGGGTTTGGGATGAGGAGCAGAGCAAGTGGTGGCAGCTCTGCTATCGATGGGAATTCTGATGTTCAGGATGCTGTCTCCTGGATCTTTGCTCTTCTAACTTGCTGGGCTGTTTTTAAATTCAGGACTACACTCATTGTGCAATGTGACCTATTGGGTTCAACCTTGGTAGCAGTTGGGCTTTAAGCTCGTCTAATAAAAGGTTTATGATTACAATTATTTAAGTGTTATGCTGTAACAGCATAGGGTAAATGGAGCATGAGAGAAAACTAGGTGGAGTTGTGGCTGACAAGGCAGAGCCCCAAGATCAAGGACCACTGGGGATATAATCTCCTCCTCCTCCTTTAAGTGCCTTACATTGCACCTGGTTCCAAATCCAGCTGAAATCCATCTCTTTCTCTTGGCTGCTACCTGTCATCACCACTACTCTGGGGTATTATCTAGTTTTTCAGGCATCAAAGCAATCTGAAGTTATCTCAGGCGTCTGTAAAGTGCAAGTACATTTTATCTTTGTTATTATACATTCTTAAGAGAACATACTTCAAATTAATCCCTAGGCGTCTCCCATCAAATGAGCAGATTTATGCTCTAAGGTTACATGGCTGTCTTCCTGATCTACCACAACTTAACTGAGTGTGCGTGTCCTTGCTGTTTCCCTCTTTAGGTCTGTTGGAATGGATTTCACAGAAGCCTATTCTGACAGATGTTCAGCTGTTGGGCTTGCAGCTAGAGAAGGGAATGTCAAACATTTGAAGAAGCTAATCAAACAGGGATACAGTGTTGATGTTCCTGATAACCGAGGTTGGATGGCAATTCATGAAGCAGCCTTTTATAACAAAAGTGACTGCCTGAAGCTCTTACTTCGTGCTGGTAAGGAAAAATTGTGTCTTGTCTGAAAATGCTATTGTAAGGCAAAAGAAGCCAGTTTTTATGTCCGTAGAGTTCTCTCAGCACTCTGGTTCTTGAGTTTCCCTAAAAACTGGTCAGTGTATAATAAAGTTGGAACTGCTTGCCCATGAATGCTTTAGTAAGCAAGGTGTGCTAGTGGTCAGATGGTATGAGGACATGGATTGGGGGTGTGACTGAGAAACTAATATTTCCTGAAAAATTCCCTTAGGAGGCAGAGTGTCAGTGGATCTCTGCATTTGCAGAATATGTATGGAATACCAGTTGGTGTAGCATAACAACTAAGATGGTTAGGTACAAAACAGGAAATCCCCAGGTCAAAACTTTGCCATGTTCTTACTATGTTGTGTGAAGCAAGACTGTTTCTCCCAACCTCTTATCTGAAATAGGTTGATGATAACGGTAACCTTCTGTGTCACAAGGATTACACCAAGATAATGTATGTGAAACTCTTTGGTGGTATCAGGTGGGTAGCTGTGTTAGTCTGAAGCAGCAGAACAAAGTTTGAGTCCAGTGGCACCTTTAAGATCAACAAAATGTTATTCAAACTTTGCTCTTTGGTGGACTGTTCAACTTTGATTATAGTTTAAAAGGGTCACTGGGGTCCTTAAGAGCTTTGGATGCCATGGGGACTACCAGCTCTCCTTCTCTGCATTGATTGATGCAATACCCCATAGTAAGAGAACTCTGGCTATAAGATAATGGAGGGGGGGGGGAGAGGCAGGCCTCCCTTGGGAATAAATTATATGAAGTGGATGTCATACCATAGAATTGTTTCCCTTCATTCTTCTAAACTTCATTTGAGGATGGAATCCCCTTTCCCCTCCCAGCTGCAACCTACTGTTCAGGTTGTCAGTTATCTGTGTGGGACTCTGGGAATAAACTTTACCACGGTCAGAACGGGCTGACATGGGGAGGGACAGTGCAGCAAAGGTCTCTGACAGGCAGCACTTTCCACTGATGGATCACTGGATTCAGCCCTAAGTCTGCAGTACCTTTGGGTCTCCAGTTCAAGAAGATCGTAAGTGCGTTAAACCCTGAAACATCTTTTCTCAACCCTTTCCCCCCTTTTTTTGTTTCAAATGGTCCTGCCAGCCTGATGGAGACCTGGGGAACTCATATTTGGTGATGGCTTCATCCTGCTGTTGCTAGTGAAAGTGCAAAGCAATCAGTGAGCTGCCCTCCTCCAGCCAAAGAGTGATGTCGTTTTTTGTGTGCAATTTAAAACCAACCCAAATTGAACTACATTCTGTGCAAATGCCTTTCTCTCACTGCTTCCTTTCAAAACCAGCAGATTAAAATATTGCAGATTTAGCAAGGGAAATCTTGATTTTATTATCCCCAGCACCCTCAGATGACTACATCAGCGCAAAGACATTTGAAGGCACTTGCCCACTGCACCTTTCTGCAAATCAGGGGAGCTTGGAATGTGTCGCCATTCTTTTGAAATCTGGAGCCAGTCCTAATGAGGTTACTAACAATGCGACCACACCATTGTTTTTAGGTGAGTTTAACTTATTCTGAAGGTTAATAATGATCAAATATATTAGGTAAATTTTCCATATTTAGATGTTCCATCTCTTTCCATAATTCATCATCAACAACTTCACTGCGTTAGTTGTAGGCCCTATCGTAAAACAGTTGCCAGTAGAAGACTTCCAGTGTGAAACAATCTATTAAAGCAGTACAGTGGCAAAGAATGCCAAAGATGCCAGATTAATAGTAAATGCTGTATTTGTTCTTCCTTCAACCAAGTTGTACAAAGTCTTCAGTTCCTAAAACAAATGGAACTGCTGTTTACTAATTTTAAAGATCTTGCCTTCTAAAACAGGGATCAGCAGGGCAGAAGCTTGAAGGTCAAGTGGTGTCTAACTTGTGTCAAAATCTGACTTTAAAAGCAAGGTCCAATCAGATACCATGGGAGATCCTTTGTTACTCTTTTGCCCCCAAAAACACAATTCAGAGCTGTTTTTTTAAAGACAATATCCCTCAAAAATCTTAAAGGGTATACCTGGAAAGCTTAAGGCACCAGTGCCCATCTAAGAAGGTTATTCATAGAAAATATAGCTACCTTTCAAATATAAGAATCACAGAACACATCTAGGAGAACTAGAAATTGACCAATCGGTTTGAACAGCAGAACTGTTGAGCCTAGTTTTAATCTGTTCCATACTTTTATCCAACCCTTTGGCCACAGAAGGTAGAAGGTAATGTCAGTAAAGCCTTTGACAAGGTTCCTCATGATGTTCTAATGGGTAAACTGAAGGACTGTGGACTCTAGAATGGTTAGGTGGGTAGGGAACTGATCGGAGAACTGCACCCGAAGAGTAGTTCTCAATGGCATTTCATCTGATTGGAGGGAGGTGTCCAGTGGGGTGTCGGAGGGCTTGTTTCTGAGCCCAGTACTCTTCAGTATTTTCGGAAATGATTTGGATTAGAGGGTGGAGGAAGTACTCATTAAATTTGCTGATGACACCAAATTGGGAGGAGTAGTGAACTCACCAGAAGACAGAGATAGAATTTAACAAGATCTGCACTCACTGGAAAAGTGGGTGGATGTGAATAACATGCAATTCAACAAGGATAAGTACAGAGTTCTACATCTGGGTGACAAAATGAGAAGTGGGGGGGGACACACTTCTGAGTAGCAGTGTGTGTGAACAAGGTCTTGGGGTATGGGTGGACTATAAGCTAAACATCAGCAATCGGTTTGTCATGATGAGCATCGGCCAAAAAAGGCTAATGCAGTCTCAGGGTGTATTAACGGAGGCATAACTTCCAAATCACAATACATCATAGTCCCACTGTACTCCACATTGGTTAGGCCGCACCTGGAGTACTGTGTGTAGTTTTGGAGGCCTCACTTCAAAAAGGATGTGGACAGAATGGAAGCGGGTACAGAGGAGAGCGATGAAGATGATCAAGGGCTTGAAGACCAAGCCCTATGAGGAAAGGCTGAGGGACTTGAGAATGTTCTGTCTGGGGAAGAGGAGGTTTAAGGGGAATATGATTGCTCTCATTAAGTATTTGAAAGGCTGTCACTTAGAGGCAGGGAGCTGTTCTTGTTGGCAGCAGAGGATAGGACTCGCAATAATGGCTTTTAAGTTACAGGCAGAAAGATCCCAGCTGGATATTAGGAAAAACTTTTTTTTCAGTCAGAGTAGTTCAGCAGTGGAATTGGCTGCCTAGGGAGGTGGTGAGCTCCCCCTCACTGGCAGTCTTCAAGCAGCAGCTGGATGAACACTTATTAGGGATGGTTTATGCTGATGCTGCATTGAGCAGGAGGTTGGACTAGATGGCCTGTATGACCTCCTCCCAACTCTATGATTTTATGTCTTTAGAATTTTGATCAGATTTACAGCAGTAAATCTGATCAATTGGACAATCTCGAAAGCCAGTCGAATCCGACTAGGGTTTATACAGCAGTATAAATCTCTGTGAACAATTGGAGAAATCATTCTGACTTCTGTGGTGGGTGGAAAACTATGTTGAAAATGTTGGTGATTAAGCTTAATGCATGTGACACACTTGATGACAATAATGGCTTTCACCTCTGTTTCAAGCTGTTGAAAATGGACACATTGATGTGATAAGGCTTCTACTTCACCATGGAGCAAGTGTTAATGGGCCACACTGTTGGTCTGAATGGAACTCTTTGCACCAGGCTTGTTTTCGGGTAATTCATACATCTGGTTTCATCCATTTAAATAATGTTTTGTTATCTCCTTTAAATAAATGACAGCTTTGCATAGTCTCTGCTTGCTATTCCTTTTTTCTGATATATGACAGGCTAGTGCAGAGAAGTCCATCTAAATGCAAATGATCATTCTGAATATGGCAGGAGCTGCAGTGCAGTTTGAACAGGGAGAATTTTAAATATTAAAAATGGTTTCTTAAAATGTGTGCAGTATATCAGATGTAACAGTATATCAGACATTAATGTACTTGAAATATTTTGTTCACTTTGGTGCTCCTGCACGGAGATCCTCCAGAACAATCGCCTGACAAGCTTCAGACTTATTAGCTGGTGCATTTGCCTTTTAGCATTTTAGGCTCCATCCAGACACTAATAAACCATGGCTTAAAACAAACTCTGGTTAGTCTACAAATCCAGTGCTATTTTGGCAGAAACAAGGGATAGTGCTACTCAACAAGTTGTAGATGAATATGTCAAAGCAAACTATGGTTCATGTAAACTGTGGCTAGCAAACCAGCCTCAAACCCTTGCTTTGAATTTGTGTTGTGCCTGACGTTGTTTTGTTATGAATTTTTTTTATTTGTTAGACATTTACTCCGCTCTCCTGCCGAAGCGGCTCAGGGCAGCTTACAGTAGTTAAAAAACAGTATACAATTAATAGAATATCAAGTCTAAAACAATACAATCGATAAAATATCAAAATACAACTTATTCAATTTAAGATTGTGGCGGCCATCTTTTATAAAGTGCTAGTAGTTATGTGGAACGGTCAGTGTGGTCAGACTATCGAAATGCTTGCCAGAACAGCTCAGTCTTTACCGCTCTACGGAATTGTTGAAGATCTCGCAGAGCTCGAATTTCATTTGGGAGCTGATTCCATAATACTGGTGCAGCTAGGGAAAACGCCCTAGTTCTTGTTGATGTTAATTTTGCGTCCCTAGGGCCTGGGGGGACCAAGCGATTTTGCGACTCAGATCTCAGTGCCCTCGGGGGAACATAGGGGGAAAGGCGGTCCCTCAGGTAGACAGGCCCCAGACCATTTAGGGCTTTAAAGGTCAAAACCAGCACCTTGAAGCGTATCCGGAACGCTATTGGCAGCCAGTGCAGCGACCTCAGCACGGGTTGGATGTGTTCCCTCATGGGGGAGACCTATCAGCAACCTGGCCGCAGCATTTTGCAGTAGCTGCAGCTTCTGGAGTTGCCCCAAGGCAGAAGTTATAACTAACCATCATTTGAGCACAGCTTGTTTTATTGTGATTTCTGAATGAAGCTTTCATGTTTGTAGCCCTGTGCCCATTCTCTTGTTCTTCATTAGAGTGCTGTATGTCCTACGTCAAGGTTACGTCAGTGTAATCTTGTAATCAAAGTCTGTAACTGTAACTTTCTGACATAGACTCCAAAGTGGCAAATGAAGTAAATGGGACCATAAAGTACAGCTGAATCCAAATCAAAACTATAAGGCAGTAACCCAAAAGAAGTCTGTATTTAACTCTTTATCATACTGTATTTAGAAAATGTCCTAGCTCAGAGCCGATTCAGACTTAGATAATGTAAATTGTGTATTTGGAGTCCTTCTAGAATGGGGGAGAATTATTAGAATGCTTTCCCATGTAGCAAATTCCCTTTTTGTGGCAAACTTAGTACTTTAGGAAGGGAGATCTTGGCTTTCTGCTTGTTTTCCATATGCCAGGACACTCTTTATATGGGGGGGGGGGGTAGCATGCTTCATCCTTTGCCTGCACTCTTGAGAGAGGACTTTATGTCTTCTCTTTGAATCCTTAAATTAGGTAATCAGAACAAGGGTGGGAAATCACAGTTACGATTGGGTGTCCTCCATTTTCTGTTGAATGAGAGTCAGACCTTGAGGTGGATCTAACATGCTTTTCTGCTGGTGAAAAAGGAAAGGGGCATCACCTTTGACCATCAAAAAGGACTGCTAGGAATCATAGGACCAGAACAGACAAAAGGCAAGTGGGATGAGAAGTGCAGATTATTTAGATGTGAGTTGCTGCTACAGATAGAAATAATTCCCGATGCCTTAAACTACAAACTATGGCAAGTTAGACCAAGGTAGCCTGAGTGTCTTGTGGTTTCTTAAGAGAAATTATTTCATTGCCATGATGGCGTAAAAGTAACATGGGACAAAGGTCATGCAGTAGCCTCTCCACATGCCGGTTTTATGGAAGTTTTTGCTGGGATGATTCATAGAGAGGAGCCACCACATAGGTTCTCCCATGTTGCTTGGGTCTTCCTGTGATAGCCTTGTGATGCAGGAAGGAGTTGTGACATGTGGCTTCTGTGCTTCCATTGTAATAACTTGTTCTTAGCTGACAAGGGTAAGCAGTTCAGTCTATCCATTGAACAATGGACTTCTGTCTCAATGTCATCTACTAACCGGTTTTGATTTGTCCCATCTCTGTAGCACTTTCAGTTACAGAAGGAACCTCTCCATACCAAGTCTTCTGATCTAAATATTTAGCTAGTTGCTGTTTGGTAACCAGCTGACGCTTCTCAGCTAAGATAATCAAGTCTTAGTCCCAAGACTAAGTTTTCATACAGGTTACTTTTTACTTATTTTTGCAAACTGGAACAGATGTTTGGAAACCCCTGAAAAGGGTCAGGGGCAGCCACAAATAATAGTTGTCTCTGAATGCTCTATTGAATGAAAATGACTGTGGAGGTTTCAGCGATGAATACGTTAAGTGGATAGGAGCCAACACAGAATCAGAGGATGACTTTGGGATCACGCCTTTATTCATCGCTGCACAATATGGAAATCTGGAATGTTTAAGGATACTTATATCACATGGTAACTATTGGTTATAGGGTGGAAGCTGGGAGTGAATGATGGCAGGCAGAACATTTTCCCTTGAATGCAGAGACCATATCAGCTACTGCTGAAGGCAGGGTAGCAGGCTAGGCTGGTTTGGGGAACTTGACCGTTCAGGCCAATTGTCCCATTTCCAGTGAAATTATACAACAGTGGCTAGTTTTTCTTAGCCTTTGACCACTTTTACCATCTCAGTCTGCTTACTGCTATGATGTTGTAGTACATGGAGAATTCTTGCCTACTGTGGAGCCAATGGCCTTGTTTGGGTTTCCACCCATGTCATTCCCAGGTAACTTCTTTTCCGCCTTTGCGAGCAATTAATTTCCTTAGATGTTTAAAAGGAAGCAAAAAGAGGTGTGTGGAAGCATAAATTGCCTACTGCAGATTAGAATTGATTTGAGTGGTAGCCATCAAAGCTTGGAGAAGGTGTCATCTATTAAATTGAGGGGAAAGACAGGCAGGGGGTGGGGAGAGACTCACAGGTGATCTAATGTGGTATAGTTGAGCCACTATACCACAGGGGACTCTCTGCCGCTTGTCTGTGCTGTAGCTTTATATTTGTAAATAAAGCAAATGTCCCAAAACACCCTCTCATCCAGACTGTACTTCCCTGGAACGTTTGGCTACCCTATGAAGTGTGTGTGTTTGGGGCGGAAGCATGTGGCAGGGGGATTAAATGTCTATATCTGGCCACAGGATTGTATCCACTAACATTCATATAATCTGCCTTAAAACTATTATGTGCACATGAAATAAAAATACCTTGGAAATAAAAATCCTACTCCTGATAAAGATCCTACTCCTGATTATGCTGATCTTGGTGCCCGCCCCTTTAGCAAAACATACAGATCAGCATGAGTAAGCATAGTGTCCTGAAACTTACTGGCTATTTCAAGAGGAAAGATTAATCTTGGAAAGATTAATCACACCCACAGCTCGAAAGCTGTGCATTTCCAGCTCTGTATGGAAAAAAAAGCATAGTAAGTTACTAAATCCCTGCCCTTCTCCAGGAGGTTCTTTTTAGTTGTTATTGACAACCTTCTGCAAAATATGTTGCATGTGCCACAGTTTGTGTGCTAAGTAAAATAACGTGTAATAAAGGTGTTAATCACATTTATAAAAAGACTAGAGGGAAGTGATGACAATTTGGGACAGCTTTTTTTTTTGTGACTTAAAAGAGTCTGGACTGTATCTAAAATGATTCACAGGTGAAGTTTCTTTAAGCGTCTGATATTTTAATTTCTCAGGGTCTTTTCCCCACATATGGCTCCTGTGTCTGTGGACAGGCAACTCTTGGAACACTCTGAGATCCTTGCTACAGAATGGCATTCTTGCCCATCTGCTTGGATAGAGATGTGAAGGCTAGGGGGAAGAAGGAAAAATGGGGGGGGGGTATCCTGCTTTTTCCCCAGGAGCTCCCATTTCAGTTTTTCCTGTGGAAAACTTGGGAGATTTTTGAGCAGCTGTGAAAACTTCTATAACTTTTAATGAATAAAATGCTTCCTTAAGTTTTACTCAGCTTTTGCTATTGGAGAAATTGGGACATTTGGGGGAGCACTGGGGGGAAAACCCACTATGAAATATATTTTTCTTTTGGAATTAGTGCTGAGGTTGCATTGGGTGCAGCAGTTAGCTGCTTTCTCTCACTTTAATACTTGATTGAATTTTATATTTACTTCCCTGTATGTCAGTTAATATAATCTTATATGCTAGCTAAGTTATAAATTCGTCATTTCATTATGTTAATGCAACAAAACAGATCTAGGTTTGGTAGTACAATATTGCATGTATTTCAGTATTGCATGTATTTCAGTTTTTCCTCATAATTTCTGTTCACTCAAAAAAAATCCACTTTTTTCCTCTATGGTTTCGGAGTTTCCAGAAGTTTTTATTTCTGCTCTTGGTAGATCTTGTCGGGGTGCGCGGAATGCTGGCTAGCACGTCAGTGCCCAAAGGGAGTTAGAGTACCCAAAGAAGACTGGAGTCCAGAGCTTAGGTGCAAACACACAGTGAATTTATTCACACCCAGCTTCCACCAATATACAGTTCTCAGTGTCAAAGTGCTCCGCTGCAACCAATTCAAGTGAGAGACACAGTACACTGTACACTCTGTATATATATACAACCATGAGCCAATCAGCACACAGCTGATGCAATCCTCATGCAATACCTCAGTGCCAGGCTGGACTGCTTCAAACCGGTTAGAGCCAGCCTCCTTTGCAGCCTCTAGCTGTCACTCACTTTGACATTAGATCAAACTCATCTAGGCCAGCCTTACCTATACAAGTGAATCACGACAGATCTGTGGCCAACTCTGTTTGCTGTTCTACGTAGCTATGAATGGAGTTGTGATTGAGTGACTTCCCAGACTGCCAAGTAAAAATGGGTCAAGAACAAAGTTCTGCTAACTTTTTACAACAGGAAGAGAGTCTACCTTTGGTACTTCTAACTTAAAGAGATTGGCTTTTGCTTGATAACTAACCATCACATCTCTCTTTGTTCATTTAAAAACCATTAAATGGATTGATGGTAGATGCTAGACAGACAAAAGAGAGTACTTTCTGCAATGCTGTAATTAACATTTGAAGATGATTGCTTCAAGGCATAATGGTAGCATATGGCTTTGCTTTAAAAAACATCAGACATGTGAGTATAGAATTGACCTACTTATGGCTGACGAGGAAATTACAAATTTTAGCTGGGTTCAAAGAATGGGTCCAAATCACTATTAACAACTGGAGTAGAAGCTCTGTTGATTGACCATGATCAAGGGAAGCATCTGAAGTCCAAGATGCTGACACTGTTACATTGTTCATCATTGGCTCTACAGCATGTTTTACAGCTCAAGAAGGCAGTAACATATAATCAGTCAAGGCATGCCTACTCAACACTGCACTAACTCTGAACCGAAAAGCAATCTATATTTCCTTCTTAATTAAAGAATACTACTACCTTATCTATGGCACACTAGTAGCGCAACATGAACTGCTGACTATAGTTTAAGAAATGGGATCTATGTTAAAGGTTAGTTTAGGTTAGTTTGCCATATGAGGCAAGGAATGCAGACTTTTGGAGACTTCAGCTAAAAACATAGATAATAGTGGTGTCTCATTACTAGGTCAAATGTTCCCCTCAATTCTTTTCTTGACTTTCACAGACATGGCTACACTATGGCTCATTCACAATTCACCTTTCCCCCCTTCATGGCTAACAGTAGAAATATGGACAAAAATAACCTATTAAAGTGACGTGTAGAGTTAATTGGTGGAAGCTGTCTTCCTTATTGTTTTTAAAATTCTCTTATCAGGAGCAAACGTCAACTGTCGAGCCAAAGATCGGGCCACGCCGTTATTTATTGCTGCGCAAGAGGGCCATGGCACTTGTGTGGAATTGTTGCTGTCAAAGGGAGCAGACCCGAACCTCTATTGTAATGAAGATGAATGGCAGTTACCTATCCACGCTGCAGCACAAATGGGGCACCGAAAGTAGGCTTTAAGAAACTGCTGATAGCTATTTGCAAACTGGCATGCTTGGGTTATGTCGAAGGGGAAGAGGCTGGGGAAAGGAGGGTCACAGCTTTTCAACCAGTGGATGTCAAGCTCTTGGAGGGGCTGGACGGCCAAAACCTTTGGATCTCCCTTGTTGTTGATCAGAGCCCGCAGCTGCAATTTTTGACCCAAATCTGTCAGTCTCATTTGAAATTAATACCAAACTCTCAGTTCCACTTGACTTGGATGCTAAAACTGGAAAATTTAGAGATGCTCTTATAGGACTTAACTGCTCCTAACCCATTTGCTCTGTTGAGCCCTGGAAACCCTAGAAGCAAGCTTATCTGTCCAGGACAGTATTCCTAGCCTTGCAGATGGGTTTAATATTTGTGTGGTTTTGATTGCCCTGGGTCCTCTTAAACAGCTTCTATTTCTTATGTTTGACACCACTGTTGTTGATAAAGGAAGGAATGTGTGCTTGGGTTGGCTGATGGCTGGCTGAACATCATATTCTCAGTCCATATAGCCAGCCAGAGGTGCAGACGAACAGCCAATATATCAACTTCAACAAGTGTAACATTTTTAAAGAAACCATCAGAATGTGTTTAGTATGCCATACTCTGCAGTGATGTCAAAACATCTTACTGCACTCCTGGCAATCTGAACCATTAGGATCATAGAAATGTTATAGAGAGATGCTTTCATAACTTCAGACACACTCATGCTTATCCAGAGCCTCAAGTGTGTAGCAGGGAAAGAATTTCCTCTTATAAACAAGTAATATCCCTCATATCCCTCATATTGTTTATTTTTCAGACAGATTCTTTCAGATAGAAATTATCGCTCACACATAGGAGACTGAACCTCAAAATGAGTTGCCCTTTTATCATGGGACTATTTATGTATTAATTTGTGAATGTTGGATGCTATGTCAGTGCAGTCCACTTTTCCCTTTTGCTTGCTAGGCAAACCAAAGAGCATTTTTCAGTGTCATTATTGTAACACCCCTCCAATAGATCTCCATGTTGTTTTAGAGACTGCTTTTAGAAGATCCTCCTTATTTTAAGGATGGTGTAGAATGGTCCTTTGGTTCAAATGTACAATCAGGTTTTCACACAGCCTTCTTTCTGGAGCTTACCTGTAGGTGTCAATTTGATTTTTCTTAAAAATATGGGCATATGAAGCTACCATTTAGTTGTGTAGTGTTGAATCTGATTGGTGGGATCTGTCTAGGGTCTTTCCAGCACAGGTGGCAGAAACTGAACCTGGAACCTTTTGTATGCAAATCATATACTCTACTGCTGAGTGTGCTTCCTCTCATTTTGTTCGAATAGGAGGATGCAGTAGGTCAAAACGGTTTATGGAGCAAAAGCAAAATGCTTGTATTAAAACCTCTAGTAAATATAAATCTCGTTAAAATGCAAATAGAGTAGCTAAAACATAAAAGGAGAAAATAGAGAACAAAGAACACACCTGTTAAGGATCGAAATATTTGAAAACCGTGACTGCTGTTTAATTTACTATAGCATACATTATTCAGAGGCAGTGAATTTTTAAGTGACTGGTATGATCTATGTTAATCTCTAAAGTTCTATAAGAAAGATCTTGTCTGTACATAGAACACTTTGGTAGTAACTTACAGTTCTGCCTACCCGCAGCATTCTGCGCTTCCTCATTCCAGTTACGGATCGGCTTTGTGGCACTGCCGAAGGCAAACTGAGCCCTATCTACTCAGCCATATATGGTAGACATGAAGATTGCTTGGAACTCTTGCTTGAGGAAGGTTACAGCCCAGATGCCCAAGCGTGTCTGGTCTTTGGCTGCAGATCACCCATGTCCCTGGCTTTCACAAAGGGGTATGTATAGTGCTTGTGTCTGTTATGGAGCTAGAGTGCTATGAGAAGGAGTGAAAGAGGGAACAAAGGCATAGGATAATATTACTCTGTCAGTGATTTTACAAGCTTTCTACCTTCAGGCAGAGGTGGACGTAGGCATGGGGCAACCTGGGGCAATTGCCCTGGGCCCTGCACTGGGTGAGGCCATATTGGGAGGCCCTTGACTGCTGAGCTGCCCTCTGGGAGCCTCCCCAGCTTATTGCCACCACCTGTGTGGTCTGACGGCCAGGCAGTGAGCAGCTGGTATGAGCTGGGGAATGCTCCCACCACCCTATAGCTGGCTGTATGACTAGAGGCCCCCACCAGCTTATTGCCACCACCTGTGTGGTCTGGCGGCCAGGCAGTGAACAGCTGGTATGAGCTGGGGAATGGGGGAGACCTGCTCCCACCACACTATAGCTGGCTGTATGACTGGAGGCCCCCCTGCTGCCCAGCTCATTGCACTGTTAGCACACGTACTAACACCCTTCTTGTTTTTGGCTAGTGCCCCCCCTGCCCTGCTTCCCTTTTCTGTGTGGTGTGTGATGGAAGAGACTTTGGCCAATAGAAGATCCTAGCTAAAGAGGGCTGAAAGCAACTGGGCAGGCACTGCAGCTTCTCCTCCACTCAAGACGTTCTCCAACCAATCCTTCAAAATGTATAAGGGCAGGTGAGCATGTGTAAAATGTGCATTTTCCCTGCACATCTCCTGCAATGCTCCCTCTAAGCTGTGAAGTCTTGCGAGCAAAAATTCTACTTTGTGAGCTACTGGCATTAAAGTTGTGAGCGAGCGATTTGGCTACTGCATAAAGTGGTTTGCCAGAATGTGTGAGCCAGAGGCGAAAAAACTGTGAGCTAGCTCACACTAACTCAGCTTAGAGGGAACATTGATCTCCTGCAGCCTGATTGCCAGGTGGTGGCAGTGACCTAAGCAGTGGGGGGGCCTTTGCATTGCCCCACCCCCCCGGCTAGTGTTTCTGGGGTCCCAGTCTTGAGTTTTGCCTGGAGTCCAAGAATCACTAAGACTGCCCCTGCCTTCAGGGAACCTTTTCTGCATTGATCTGGCTCTGAGTAACCACTATTAACCTACTGTACCTCCCTAATTCTGGGCTGTGCAGCAGTTCAGCTGGGATGTTGGCCACATAGTTTTCTCACATGGACCATGAATGGATGCTAGAACACATCTGGTGTTCCCTAAAGCCGTACTCTAGGGGAAAATGGTGGTCAAGCTATCTTTCATGGAAGTTTGTCCTCCAGTATTGATCTTTTCATTGAGAGATCTTCAAAGGAAGACTGGAATAAGGTCTAAAAGTCTTGCCCTGTCTGACTGTTGCCTAGTGGTAGAAAGCCAGGAAGAGAAAATGGAGGAGGAAGGTAGCAGAGGCCCTGTTTGTGGGACCTTTCTGAGAAGTTGCCAGCGCTGTGTGGCCTGTCAACACTCTCCCAGGTCTGCTAGCAAATGGCTGAGTTGGAGGAAGTGAAGAAATCAGTCTCTCTGGATGGGAAAGCCTGGAAATCTTCACTCCTTCTAGTACTTCAATTAGGGTTTCCTGGGTCCTGCAAAAAGGGTCAGGAATAGGATGGTACCTAAATCATTGATTAGGGGAGGGAGCAAGACCCAAGTAAATGCATATTTTGGTTACTGGTGATCATACTAGAAGATTTTTTTTAAGTATTGGTTTGCTTTTCCCTCAAACCACTAAGAAAATAGTAATCTGGTCTTTGATGTATCCCAGTTCTGGGTGATATCCAGGCACTAAAGAAACTAGACAGACTCTCCCTTGGGAAGCTCTTCTCTTTGAAGCAGACCCTTGTAGAACATACATTCGGTCTAATTTCCTTGCTTTCAAAGGGTCTTATCAGCAATCTCTGTCTCCTGGGAACTTGACATGATTTTGTGATTGAGTCGAGTATGTAATTAGCATAGTTCATTTCCCACCATCTCCTTTTGCCTGAAACTGCTGTCTTATTCCCTCTTCATCTTCATCTCTTGCTTCCTTGTTTTTAAAAATAAAACGTTTGCAGTAAAGTGGGGTCTGCGATACCTAAAATGGCTTTTGTATTTTGCTGATGTGGATTAGGTAATTGATTTGATTGGGCAATGGGTACCTATTTTCCAGGGTCAATTTTGTGCTAAAGAACAGCTTTGTGTGGTCCAGATGTTAAGCAGTACTGTACTGAGCACAAAAATTACTTTTGTGATTTTTACATTCACATTCTTATGGGCTGTTTTTAAAATACAGTAAAATAGTACTTAAAAAAAAAAGGATTGGGTTGGGATTGGGTCTCCCTCAGTGGGAGACTGCCTGAGAACTGCAAAGAAATGTATGTCATAGATAATGTTGTAGTAGATAATGTTGTACTAAATATTCTTCTCAGAAGCATGTTGCAATGGCTTCTGATCATGGGAGAGTTTTATCTGGTTATTTTTCTCTTCTAGCAGTATTTTAATTGCTTGAGAGAGGACTTTGGTATTAAGAACATAAGAACATAAGAGATGCCAATGTTGGATCAGGCCAAAGGCCCATCCAGTCCAACACTCTGTATCACACAGTGGCCAGTAATACCAGTGCCATCAGGAGGTCCACTAGTGGGGCCAGGACATTAGAAGCCCTCCCACTGTTGACCCCCCCAAGCACCAAGATGACAGAGTATCACTTGCCCCAGAGTCCCTATCTATACCTTGTGGCTAATAGCCACTGATGGACCTCTGCTCCATATGCTTATCTAATTCCCTTTTGAAGCCGTCCATGCTTGTAGCCGCCACCACTTCCTGTGGCAGTGAATTCCAAGTATTAATCACTCTTTGGGTGAAGAAGTACTTCCTTTTATCCGTTCTAACCCGACCGCTCAGCAATTTCATGGAGTGCCCATAGAAGTATTCTTCTATTTGTACATGTGAAATTGTTTAGCTGATAGCCAGAATGTTTTCTGCCTTCTCTTCCCTTTAAAAATTAGATACCAGAGTAAGGAGTGCAGAGGCTTTATGGGGGGGGGGGGTCCCCCAGCCTTTTTGAGCCTACAGGAACTTTTGGGATTCTAATATAGCATGTTGGGCACAGCCACAAAATGGCTGCTGCTGAAGGTGGATCCAGCCACAAAATGGCTGCCATTTTGTCACACAGTGAAGATCCTTGTGCTGTGGTGGCAGCTGCTGCCAAAGCAACATTTTTAAAAATCTGCACACCCAATAGAAGTTTTGCTGGGCAGAAGCCCACCTGGCCCTGCCCACTTTCTAAAAAACTCTAGGTGGGCACCAGGAAAGGTGGCAGCAGGTGCCATGGTGCCCACAGGTATCATGTTGGGGATACCTGGTTTATAGACTCCCTGTTTCTTAATGGCTTTTGAAACTTAGTAATGTTTCTCTACCTGCTGTGTTCAACATAAAATTGGCATTTGCCCTGGAGCACATCACAGCATGCAGGCATGACTTGGCGTAATAGTTTGTGTAGAAGGGGTTCCCTGCATGGAAGAACATTTTCACAGATGCTGTATTAAATTAAATTAACGAATCTTCTGTGTGTGCATTATTGCAGGTTGGGATTTATCCTGATGCTTCTCAAATATGGGATCACTCTTCATGAAGCCGATCTAGGCCTCTGTCTGTTCTATGAAAAGTTCTCTTTATTTCAGTATTTCTTGAAGAGGGGCTGCAAGCTTCCTGGTGACCAAGATATGGAAGAATTTCATGCCATCGATGTACAAGGCCAGTACAAAGAGTGGCTGCCATCTCTCCTGCTTGCTGGATTTAATCCTGTTAGTCTCCTCTGCAAGTCATGGTAAGGAAGATGATGCACATACACGCATGTGCGTGTAAATGTAACACATGCTTTTATTTATGTGCTGCATTTAAATCCCGCTCTTCTCCCTCTGAGGTGGAGGACATCTTGAGGGTGATTCCCACTGTCCTGTCAGGGAGGCAGGGACCACTTTTTCCCAACTTCCTGTCTCCGGAGTGAGTAGGAGTCACCCGCTCCAGTTTTCTTTCCTGCCTCATCAGGGAGAGCGGCTTCAGAATAGGCTTTGCCTTTGTCAGAATTTTTTTCTTATTCTCACTGTTTTTTCACCTTCCAGTCTCTTCCTTCTCTGAACAGTCTTTAAACTATTACATGTGTGGGCAGCCTGAGAGTAGTAATTTGCATATAAAGTTATGGCTGAACTGAAGATCTCCAGAGAGGGGGCCCACTTACCTCTTCAGGGAGCCCATTCCACCAAGCTGGAGCCACAGTGGAAAAGGCCCTGGCTCTTTTTGATGCCAGATGGGCCATCCTAAGTAGTGGGGTAGCCAACTGATGACCATCGTTGGTTCACAGGGACATAAGGAAGGAGATCATCCTTTAAATTTGTTATTGATGCACTACGGAGCGTATGCACTTTGAGTTAATCAGAGGGCTAAAAGAACTGGACAACTGCATCTGGATTCCTTTTCTGCTCTGTGATTTTAATCAAGGAGTATCTGTGATGGAAAGCAAGAGTAACGTGAAAGAGGGGGGGAAACCAGGATGTAAACTAAAACCTGCAAAACACTGCGTGGGCAGAAATCCAAACTATGTCAAAGTAAAAAGTGAAAGAATGGTGGAATGCTAACTGTCCACCAACAAGTGAAAGTGAAAGAATGGTGGAATGCTAACTCCACCAACAAGGCCCAGGTACCCTGGATCCCCAAAATCCAGGGAGAAATTTGGATCAGAAGGATTTCACAAGCTTTACTAGACAGGTACAGTTTGTGTGGAAGAGATGCCTACAAAGCACAGAAACCCAGTGCGTCCCACCACCATCACCACCATTATCAAGACAAGAGTCCCCCCTTCTTCCATTAGGCCAGTTCTAGAACATTCTAAAACTGACCTATGTATGCGCCCTTAATGACTAACCACAGCCCGAGGTAGATCACCCCTCTCTGTACACGTTTTAGCCCTTCGAGGGAAAAGTGTGCACATACTCTTCCTTCCAGCTCTATGTTTCTATGATTATATTAATCGATAACTGAAGAACATGTTCAAGGCTACCATTTGGGGTTCTCATGCTATGTCTGGTCTCTGTATACTGAGAAGAATTTTTATTTATTTCTTTAAAAAATCATGTTCATCCTTTCCCAATGGCTTAAGGTGGCTTACAATACATAATTAATAAAACCCCAAATCCTGTCCCCCAATAAAAGCATGAATCTTAGAAATGCTGTTGATCACCTTCCACAAAACCTTTGGTGTGTTTTCTCACTACTAGGATTTGTTCTGCAAACAATGATGCCCTGAATTTTCTGTTAGAATTCACTGATTGGAAGAGACTTCCTTGGGATTTGGAGCAGATCCTTTCTGAGCACAAAAGGACCTCTTCGTGGGTGCCCCGTAGTCACTTTGGTAAGCAAACAATTCAAAGGAAGACAGACTTTGTTTCTGGGATCGACTTAGTTGTTTTCCCCCTGGATGCAAGTTTTGGAAGCTAACAAATTGGTGTCTTGATGGGTGGAGTCAGCCACAAAATGGACATTTGTGCAACCATTACAGCATCTTGGAGAATTTATTGCAGTGCTTAGGTGCTTCCTCCTGCTGTTTTCTCAAGACTACCCATGCCCCCATTGCAACTTGCCCTGCAGGGGAAAACAGTGGCCTTAGTTTTTCTTTGCTTTCATGCTGGGGGAAAGATTGCTGCTGCAGTTCTTTACGAGAAGGATAAATAGGCATTGCTGAAGCACTGGAGAAATGCTACTTGGAGTGTGACTGATTGTCCCTCAGTAGGGTTACCAGTGGGCTCGGGAGACTTCTTCCCACCTTTGAGCTAATTCACCTCTGTATATGCTATTTGTTTAATAATGTAAACAAGGGTGGGGGGGTCTGCAAGAATTTGCAGGGGGCATCTCATTTTCCCCATTTTCCCCTTTCCTGCTTCCTTCTCTTCTTCCCACCTATCCACCAACCTGCCTTTATCTTTGCACCCCATTCCCCCGGTCTTTAGCTTTCCCTTCTTCTTCCCACCTCTCTCTACCCAGGAAAACTTCCGGCCACAAGGCCAAGTTGCATGGGGAAGAACCTGCAAGGAGGCACCTCACTTTCACCTGTACCCCCCCCCCCACCCACCACGTTTCCTCTTTTCCTCCCCCTGTCGTCCCCCCCCCCCCCCCAAACGTTTCCTCTTTTGCTCCTCCTGGCAGCCCTCATATCCTTGCCTTTGTCTGTCCTTCTGTTTTCCCCACACACCAGCCAATTTTCCTTTTATCTGTCAGCCATCTTCATCTACATTTATTGTTTACTTCATTTATACCCTGCCTTTCTCTTACCTGTGGGGTAGTTTAGATTGAGAATGTGTGACAGGCCCAAGGTTACCAGTGAGCTTCCACAGCAGTCTGAAACCCTAAACACTGCACCACACGACATTTAACGGGATGGCTGCTGTTGAACAGTAGCAAACAAGCAAGGAGAAGGTTGCCAATAATAGAATCGACCAAACATACAAAAGCAACCCTGAAGAACATTAACAGAATCTGTAGTTTGCGAACATATTTATAATGATATAAGATAAGCTGTCATGGAAAGTGCAAATTAAGTACAAAGTGCATAATTACACTAAAAGACATACAGTTACAAGTGGGACATAAACCCTGCTGAAATATAATCTTAAAGGGACTGAGCCTATAAACAATCCTCTTATGCTGTAAGAACAAAAAGATCCATTCTCTGTAACAGCCGAAGAGAAGTCCCTCAGAACACAAAGACGTCAAGGATAGTACTACACAGCAGACCTGTTTCGAGTCAATATCTTTGTCAAGCTGTTAGTCTTCATAAGGCTTGTGGGATAGGTGGCTATCTCAAGCTTGTCATTAGGGACGATTGGGGGGCTAGGGTGGGTAACATCTGCTCCCTCCCATATAAGTCATTCTCTTGGTTTACCTCTTTTTTTGGGGAGGGAGAATCACTATTCTGGATGAGAGGGTGTTTGAAACCTCAGTACTTTGCTCCTCATACTTTCATTTCTTTTTTTTATTGTGACAGAGTTCATCCCTCCCTTGTCTCACCTTTGCCGCCTGGAGATCCGATCACTTTTAGCAAGCGATCGTTTACGATCAGACCAGTTTATCCACCAGCTGCCGTTGCCCACTGGTCTGCAGGACTATGTCCTGTTCTCGGACATTTTAACAACGTATGGTGTTGCACGATCTTCACTGACCCTGGGAGAAGTGCATGAAGGAGATGCTCTGCCACCTCTAGGTGTTTCAGGAACTACAGAAAGAAGAGGAACTTAGCAGAGTACCAAAGACTTTTGGTAGTTGTGAGGACCATGTTCTGCCTCTGTATGGAAGTGGCTTCCATGGTTAAGGTTCTGTAGGACCAGCCATGCACTGTCCGATCCCATCAGATTTTGGTCCAAGTTGATGTTCACCAGTGAGAAGATGAAGCCTCCTGCTCAGCACCCCAAACTCTGCCCTCCTTAGGCACTGGCCCCCATCTCCAGGAATTTCTCAGGTTGGAGTTGGCAACACTACTATGGATTGAAGCAATGGCTCCAGTGAGACACAGATGCTTTCTTTAACTGTTGTTTTCTTCAGCTGTTCCAAATATGGAAATGCCCCAGGTCAAAATGACTTACCCTATTCTCATATTGTTCTCATTGTCCCATGATGATTTTCCAGTGATCAATTTTTGTTTTAATTAGGGGTTTCTTTGTTTTCTGTGTGGATGGGGATATGTGAAGTTGCAGCAGTGTGTTCATAGTAACTAAATGTGTGGTGGACAAGGATGTACCCAGTTCAGACTTCACCTTGGCCACGCAGCTTTACAGAAGGTCTTTGTATCATCCCTGTCTTCAATGTCTTCGTATCATCCCTGATCTACAATACGGGGCTCACAATACTACTACTATGTGAGAGGATTCTTGTAATGATGTTGAGATCATGCATATGTCTGGTGCTTTGAACTCTGTACCAGCCTTTCTCAAGAATCCCCTTTTTAATTTTTTTCAAGTACCCAGAAGCTTTCCCGTCTCCCACTGGTTTATTCTGTACAGTTACACCTTAAAAATATAAGTTAAAGATATGCTTCTTTTACTAAGTGGCCTTTAAGGCTATGTCTTGGAGGGTAACTTGCTCTATAGGAAGACAGTGCATAAGACCATGACCAAGTCCTGACCTTTCTCAATACAAACATAAATACATATAAATTTGGGGTTTCATTGCATCATAGTATATTAAATTTTTTTCAAGTACCCAGAAGCTTTCCCGTCTCCCACTGGTTTATTCTGTACAGTTACACCTTAAAAATAAATTAAAGATATGCTTTTGTTACTATGTGGTCTTTAAGGCTATGTCATGGAGGGTAACTTGCTCTATAGGATGACAGTGCATAAGACCCTGACCAAGTCCTGACCTTTCTCACTACTTCTTCTTTTTAAAGAGTTTATTATTTTCATAATCAACAAACAAACATAAATACATATAAATTTGGGGTTTCATTGCATCATAGTATGTTACCTCATACAATATCTGCTTATATATTGTTGTTTTACCATGCATTTTTTATAAATGTATTTTTGCATTATTATTAAATATGGAAGAGGATTTGTACTAGAGACACAGAGAAACCTGATTATTTGTTAACTTATAGCCAGACTCTTGCTGTGAATGGGAGTGGGAAGGAGGCTGGAAAACTTTGGAACTGCTTGTAGAACCAGAAAAGGCATCACAGAAAACTAGAACTTCTGATATTCAGGCGGAAATAGCCATTGGGTATTATTGTCAGAGTGGCATTCCCCTTACTGTCTCTGCTGAAATCTTTTTCATTGGAAAATAGAATGAGAGCTGATTTTATACCACAGCTATGTGTGATGACTGCATTAGGACTGTACGACTGTGCTGAAACTCTTTTGGCTACAGCAACCCTTTAATTCGGTTTGGGCTGGTTGTATGTCGTTAATTAACCAGTGGTGAGAGAATGTCTTTAATTTCTGTGAACAAAGGCCTCCTTGTTTGTGTTAGTTTACAACATGGAAAATAAACTGTTAAGCTTGGGTTTTGGTGAGTTCTGGATCAAGCTGAAACCTGCAGTGCTCATATCCTTTGTCTCATAAACCTGACTCTCCCAGTAGTGCGTTGAGTAGTGGGTTTTAAGAAAGGAGGTGCATCTGGCAGGATTTCTTTCTTGCATTGGGAAGGAATGGCTACAGCAACCCTTTAATTCGGTTTGGGCTGGTTGTATGTCGTTAATTAACCAGTGGTGAGAGAATGTCTTTAATTTCTGTGAACAAAGGAGGCCTATGTTCTCTAGGAATCTGGAGTTGATTCTAATGAGGTTATTAATGATGTAAACATTACGTTTTACTGATATAAAATAAACTGTATCAATGATACTAACTTCAATTCATGAGTTTTAGGGAAACAGACCAAAAGTGCCCTTTCCTTATGTCTCTGAAAGCCCTGCTAATATTCTTGCGTTCCAGATCATGCTTTCCCCTGTAACAAACTAATAGGCATGCATAATTTACTCATGCCCATTCATGAAGGTTAGATCAGTTCCTCAAGACCTTTATCTGTGCTCCCTATTTCTACTTCTTCACGCTAGAATGCTAACCCTTCTTTTCTTACGGGGTGACACGATTTGGGTTGAGGGTCTCCCAGCCCAATTTGGGTGGCACGTAACATCAGGGAACTAATATCCCCAAGCAATGTGGGGCTGGTTAGGCTCGTGAGTATGGTAGAGGGGGAGGAAGGGCTTCAGCCGTCCCTTCCACACTGTTTTCTCAAGCCAAATGACTGGGGGGGGGGCTGTTTGCCCCACTGTAGGGCTACCAGCAGCCCCCCTCACAGCTATTTTGGCTCAAGAAGACAGTGTAGGAGGGAAGGCCAAATCCTTTTCTTCCCCCACACTGTGCTTAGAAGCAGAATTCAGCCCTACAGTGCTTGAGAACATTAGTTCTCTCCTATGTGTCACATGTATCATTAATTTACTGAATTAAAATGTTTTATTAGCCACCTTCCTACCTTGTGGAATTCAAAGTGGCTTACAGTATGTCTTCAGCTGCTCCCTAAAGATCAAGAGTGAGGGGGCCTGGGGAGGTTGTTCCATAATTATGGGACTGCCACCGAAAAGACCCCCCCAATGTGCCTACCAGATGAACTTTGTTTGGTGGGGCGGTCAGGAGGGCCTCTCCCTGCAATCTTAATCCGCAGGCAGGAACATATGGAAGGTACTTCAAATGTCCCAGTCCCAAACCATGTATGGCTTCAAAGGGCAAACCAACACCTTGAATTGGGCTTGGGAGTGGTTCCCTAGCTAGTATGATTGCTGTAATATTGGGGTCACATGCTCTCAGTATGTAGCTGTCACCAGCCATCTGGCCAAAGCATTCTGTACCAGCTGCAGCTTCTAAACACTCTTCAAGGATTGTCCCAAGTAGAGTTCATTGCAATAGTTCAGTTTAGATGTAATAAAGGCATGGATCACTGTGGCTATATGTGACTAAACCAGGAACAGATGCAGCTGATGCGCTAACTGAAGCTATGCAAAATCACTCTGCCTAGTTTTTGAAGGTGATTATACGCCGACCACATGACCATGGAAATGTCTTGGGACAGTGCTGGCTCTTTGGCTTGTAAACAGAGATGAGCACCGCCCCCAAGAGTCAGATTCGACTAGCTTTCGAGCAAGGGAAACCTTTACTTACTGTGTCAGGTAGCACTCTCAAGATGTGAACCGGGCTTTTCAAGGGAAGGTGGCACCCCATCTCCATAGAGCTCTGTTCCCAAACTCCTGCTCAAGCACTGCCCCCAAATCGCTAGGAATTTCCCAAGCTGGAGTTGTCAATCCTATTCTAAATTGTATTTACCGCAGAAACAACATCATATGACTTCAAGCAGTGTATGTGTTACATCATCGGCCTTGTGCTCTTAACATATGGATGCTGCTAGTGGGCTGGGGCTTATGAGTTTTTACATCCAAAGCAAACAGGTCTTGGGAATCAACCAGGTCATTTCATTCATACAGGGATGGGGGAGATTATGCCCAGTGTATTAAGGGTTTGGGCCAAGTTTACTGCAGTATAAATCTGCATGACCAATTGGAGAGCTAGTTCTGACTACCGTGGTGGATGGGAGACTGTATTTTCACCGTCAAGAACTTTGGTTCATTCAAAATGGAGTTCTGCATTTAAAAGGTGGTTCAGTCTGGCTGTGGCCTGTGTTTGTTGATATTACTTGTTTCTGTGTCTCCAGAGTTTCACACAGTCGAGCTGGGAGAGGCAGGATGGCCATGCACCTGCAAAGATGCACTTCTCCCACTTTGGCTCTCCAGTTAACATGCCATTCAGTTAAGTCCCTGTGAGAGATGACGGATGGGGTGGAGTGAGCTGACATGGACAGAGAACCAATGAAGTCATCCTGTTACTGATTGGGCTACCTGTAACTATAGGGTATTCCCTGAACCCTGATTGGTGTAAAGGCCTAGCAGCAATCTAGGATTCAGACAATAAGTTATCTATCTTGAAGCCTATTAAAGGGCTTGATGGTGCCTGCTTGTTACACTGACATGCTGTCATTGTCTTGCTCACTTTTGGACATCTTAAGACTTCGTTGCTGAAGCCAACCAACCTGGCTTTGGGGACTCTGAAGACTTGGTTTGGACCCAGAACTTTGAATGGGTAACATCTTGTCTTTTGGAAACCAAGTTTTAAAGTCTTTAGCTTGTCTCTTAATCTCTAGTTTTATTGTTTTCCTTTACAATATTTTATTTGCACCTTAATAACTTTTTGCAACTTGATACAATTATATTTTAAATACTAACGTCTGGCTCTTTGTCCCTACAGCTGCAATAAGAAATCTCGTGCCTAAATTGGCGGTCCCCTACCATAATAGTAACTTTGGTTGGTTTCCTATTGTGAGTCAGCCTCACAGGGAGGGCTCCCTAGGTAATCCCAGGAAGGTCAGGAGCTTGTCCTTTGGCTCCTAACTGGAGGGGCATAGAAGGACTGGTGCACCCATGTTGAAGGTGCACAGGTGCCTGCAACACCTTTTGTAATTTGCAGCTAGCTAGCCTCTTGTTGAAAAGGTCTTTAGCCCGGGCTGGGCAGGGAAGACCTTTTTGAAAGGTGGTGATTAAGTTGATTGTATGTTGCCATATTTAATACAAATAATGATATTCAACCCTTGGTTTGCAGCTGTTGAAAGATGATACATTGATGTGATAAGACTTCTACTTCACCATGCCACCCACACCTGCCATTTCTCTAGACAGAGCACTTCGCACAAGGCTTGTTATCAGGCAATTTATAAATCCATAATTTCATTTCCATACAAGGAATGTTCTGTCTCTATCTTTTTTTAAAAAAAATGACAGCTTCGCAGAGTCTTCACTTGCTATTCCTTTTTTCCTGATTTATGACAGGCTAGCACAGAGAAGTCCGTCTAAATGCAAATGCTCATTCTGAATATGGTTGGAACTGCAGTGCGGGTTGAGAATATTAGGTATGAAAAATACTGCACATATTTTAAGAAACCATCAGATGTAACACAGGCAGTAAATTAGACATTGTTACTTCAAACAATTCTCTCATTGTTTTTGTTGTGTCCCAGTGCATGGGGATCCTCTGAGACAATAGGCACAGAAGCGTCATACTGTAAAAGGCAAAGACCAGCTAGGGAGTTGTAGGCTCTATCCAGACACCATAAAAAAACCATGGTTGGTGCAGCTGCCTTTGGTTCTTCTGCCTATAAGATTTAAGTTAAAAAAGATTGTGTCAAGTATGATGGCTGCTTGCCTCTCTCCTACCTCTTTGTAGTGCCGTCTGTCCTCTGGCAGCCGCAAGGGATACCGCTGCTCAGCAATTATAGTTTATGAGTTCAGATGTCAGGATAAACTACAATTAGGATTGGTGTGAACCATCCATTACAAACACTAGTTTTAATCTTCAGCGTTGTGCCTAACAACAAGTCCTGTTGTTTTGCAAAGTCTCCAATCAGGTATCATAACTAACCAGGGTTTCATCACACCTTGGCTTGTTGTGACTTTGGAATGTGGCCA